ACCTTTATGGAAAATAAATGAGGAGGTCTTGTTTTAAACATGACCGAGGAGATCATGTTTTGGGACAAGCAGGAAGAAGCCATTTCCATGGGAGCAACAGTGAAGATGATGTCGGGCAGCAGCTACTTGCACTTTAATCCATGCAGCCGACCAACAGACGATCCGACCTGTTCGCACTAATTTTGCCAGATTTCAATTTCTCTCAAAGAACTATAAGAAAAAACATATATAACTACGTTGGAAGTAAAAACCTCCACATGAAGACCTAAACACATGTTTTGCTTAGCAAAGCTGCGGTCATGGACTGAAACATTGGAGTCATGACTTTCATATTTTTCTGATTAAGCTGAATTTTATTCCTATTCAGACTGTGAGGGGTTTCTTTTGTTGTTGTTGTTGAATTTTTGGTGCATCTCTAATAATTACTCTAACTTCTATGGTTTGGGTCTGTTGGGGGAGGGGGGGGGGGGTCTGGAGACAACTTGCACTTGGGGCGACGTTGGCTCGTGTTGGGAGTTTGTCATTGGTGGGGTTGCAAGTTTGAACCCAGGCTTCTGTAGTCATGTCAGTTGGTGTGTCCTTGGGAAGGACACTTCACCATCCTCGCCTGCTGGTGATGGTCGGAGGAACTGATGGCGCCTTGTTTCTGTCAGCTGTAGCTATTATCAGCGTGTGAATGGATGAATGATTCACTCTAACTCAGAAAGGTGCTACACAGGTGCGGGCCATGCAACGAGGCTCTAGAAGTGAGAAGAATGCCCAAACTCCTTGAAGAAAGGCAACGCTGCACCCCTCCTGACGTTTACATCACGCAGCTCCATTTAGATGCACAATGTCCACCAAAAACTGGTTTAGTGTTGAGGGGAGGACAGCTAAGTGTTTAACCACATGGACAAAGCAAACAGCCGAGGGCGTCGCCCAACTCACCCACGTTGCCCACTATAGTGGTGAGGTTGTCCTTGGTGTTAGGAGAGACAAATGACCGGAGTCTGTCGAGCCGACTGCTGTCTCTGGAGATCACAGCAACTTTAAAACCTTCAGACAAAGAAGATACCAACACTTCACATGAAAATGAACAACCCTCAGAAAGGCCACCCAAGTGATTATAGGAAGCATCAAGAGAGCTCTCACCAAGAAACCAGAGTGGAAAATATTACCGAAGGACTTTAACTGCAGACCAAACAGGAGCGAAGACACTAAACACTGAGATTAAACTATCGACTATCATTTAGATGTTGGAGGTAATGACCAAGTGTCGTTTATAGAACTTTATCAACCACCAGCAAAATAATCCAGATGTAAAAATTCATTACAGGCACCACAATAAGGACAATAAATTATGTGAAGAAGCATTTTATGAACGTGTTTAACAGATTTGTGGTAAAAAGCGGTGTTTGGAAATTCTAATTTCTGGATAAATAACGTTTTATGAAATGAAATGCTGTTTTTAATTAAAAAGAAGACAGATTTTGGAATCAAGAAGCTTCCCAAGGGCATTAGAGTGGGAATGTTCAAGTGAACCATCAAACAATGAAGAGACAAACCGACACCAACCAGACCACTGCTGCTCCTCTGTATTTTTCTAAACGTCACATAAAAACAACTGGGAATGTTTTTAGACAACAGAAATGGAACAATTTAGACTGAATATCAAATATCTACAAGTTTTTGTTTCTCTTTCACGCAGATGAAGGACACGTTAGATACAAAAAGCAAAAGTGAAGAAGTTTATTTTAAGATCGTTTCTGCAGTAACAGGTTTTAACTTTTTATTCCATCTATTTAAACATTTTTTCGTTTCTGAAGCTTTTTAAAGAAAATCTAAAGAATTCTAAGTATAAAAGATTTTTTTTCATCTCTGTGAACAAAAACTTCACTTGGTACAAAATTGTCAAAAAGCACAATATTAATAAAGTTTTAGATGTTTTATGTATTGTTGCAATAAACCTCACTAAAGCCCAATGCTGTTAACGTTTCAGAACCAAAAAAACTCCGCGAGGGACGAAAACAAGCACAAAATGACTTTCAGAAAAGTGTCTGAAATTCTGTGCGTAAAACCTAAGAGATGCGCGTCTGTGCGTGAAACTGCGTTTGGGTGTTCACATTTTAAGCTGTAGCCTGTGTCAGAGTGTACAGGAAAATATAAAAATAAAATGTCACTCTCTTCGTAAACTGAAAAGTAAATCTTTATAATTAACATCAAATGGAGACGGTGCGTTTCGTGCATCTCCACCTGCGCAGCTGCGCCTCACCTTTATCCAGCAGCGCTTTAACGATCCCAGAGCCCACCGTCCCCGCTCCTCCGAGAGCCAACACCACCCTGTCCGAGTTTGACATGACTGCTGCAACTTGTCTCCACCCAACCGCAAAGATACAGAGTGTCTCTGGATTTTCTGAAAGTGAAGTTGCTCACTTGCGCGGAGCATCCTTGAACAGATTTAACCCAAGAGGTCACTGGTCCGCCCCTCTGAAGCCACGCCCGTGAGACCAAAGAGGCGCACTGATGTCAGGGCTGGTTTTGGACGAGGAGACTAGAAACTGTTCTTTATCGCAGTGAAATTCCTTCTATTTTCCTTGTGATTATAAATGTATGACTGTGATAGTGAAGCAGCCTGGTTTTCTTGGTGGTTTTGTGTAATGTTTGCTTAAGTTGCACGAAGGGTTTTTCAGCAGTTCTGATCATTCTTAAATATTGCTAGAAAAAATAGTTATGAATGCAATATTTTTTTTATTCACGTGTATAAATAATAATCTAAACGTGCGACGTAGTCACAAATGAATCACTTTCTTTCATCAACTGCAGATAGCTAATTTGCTGTTGACCCTAAACTTGTGTTTGAAAGAAGTAGAGTGCGAGGTCAAAGGGTTTATGCTGAGGTCCTCAACAGGTAATAACACTGCCATCTAGTGGTGGTGAGGATTGTGGTAAAAGGACAAGTATCCTTCATTTACCAAGTTGTCTATGGAGCAAGGATTGGGACAATATTCAGCGTAACATGTACCAAGTTTTGTAACTTGTATGGAGCAAGGATTGGGACAATATTCAGCGTAACATGTACCAAGTTTTGTAACTTCGAACATGTTTCATCACATGTAACTTTGGATTCGTAACTTGTAGCTTTAGTTTTCTAACTTGTAATTCTCAATTTGTACTTGTATTTCTTGTTTTGTAACAGGAACATTGTATTTTGTACATGTATTTTTTATTTTGTAAAATAAAACTTTTATTTTGTACATTTACTACTCATTTTGTAACATCAAACATTCATTCAGAAACATGAAACTTTCGTTTTGTAACTAGCAGACTTCCAAATTGAAAAAATCAAGGTACAAGTTTGAAATCAAAACGCAAAACAGCATATCTTCTTACGTTCGTAATCCTGTTTGTCTCATGCTTCAGCAGTTTGCTGCAGTCAGTGTTATTAACTGAAAAATATTAAATAATTACTTGTCTCCACAATCACATTTTCTTTATTATTGGTCTCTCCATTTGTGCTTCCATTTCTGATGCATGTTCGTGTTGATACAGCAACATATTGTACAAAAAATCCCAAATAAAACTAATAATGTAAAAAGTTTATAACCTATTTCAAACTGTGGGGAATATTTTTAAAACATAGAATCAAACAAGCTGAAATAACCCGTCTACAGCTCGTCCTCCTGCGCACAACCAACAAGCTGCACACGGTTAGCTCATTAAAGGTTATCTAGCTTAAACTGGCAACATAAAATATCATTGTTGGCTTATTTTGGTACGAAGCGGTTAGCTAACGCTTCACAATGCAACAAAATGATGACATTTCATCAACTTACCGGAAAGAATCCTTCCGAAACACAGAAAATGAACTGCAGTCAAGGCAGCAGTGGGGGCTGTTTGGAACTATTCGAAGCTACATGAACCACGTGACCCGCGCTTTCTGTGTCGTAACCGTATGTACAGTCTATGGTCGTAACTTTCTCTACAGCTCTGACAGAACCCTGCCTTCCTCTCCCAATGATTGGACAGGAATTCGAGAAACGTGATTGGCAGCTAAGACTCGTGCTCTCATTGGTTCCACCCAAGTTCCTCCCACTGACGCTAGAATCGAGACAAAAAGATCTGTAGCTGTAGATTTGAGGTTTGTACCTGTAGAATGAAATGTGTGTTTTGAGAGTTTTGATTTCAAACTTGTACCTTGATTTTTTCAATTTGGAAGTCTGCTAGTTACAAAACGAAAGTTCCATGTTTCTGAACGAATGTTTGATGTTACAAAATGAGTAGTAAATGTACAAAATAAAAGTTTTATTTTACAAAATAAAAAATACATGTACAAAATGAAAATTTACTGTTACAAAACAAGGAATACAAGTACAAATTGAGAATTACAAGTTAGAAAACTAAAGTTACAAGTTACGAATACAAAGTTACATGTGATGAAACATGTTCGAAGTTGCAAAACTTGGTACAAGTTACGCTGAATATTGTCCCAATCCTTGCTCCATAGTTTTCCGTTTTTCAGTTCAACATGTAAATGATTATTTTTATTATTTTTTTTTATTTTACTGTAACGCTTCTTTTTGCGCATTACATGGATAAAAAGTAAATTTATGTGCGGTTACTCTGGTATTAATATCAAGCGCACTGATCTGTAAAGTCTGTGTGTCACGTGACAATGTTTACCGAGCATGCCGAGAAGCTATCAGAGACCACCTTACTGTTACAGGAAATGTGATTTGTGTATCCACCTTTGAACATCGAGGTACGTGCCAAACACCGGTGAGGTTGTTTCTTTGGTGTCTCGGTAAAAGTCTACGTTTGGACTAATATTAGGATGTGGTCTTACTAGTTTGCTGCGAGGTAACGTTAGCAACGCCGATCGTTTTCTTTGTGAACCGGAACCTCATTTGGAATTCTCCTAAAAGTGTTTTGTCTCGCGAGTCGGTAAAAGAGTATACCATCTGGAACCACTGTTTTAACGCCTTTTGAGTTAGCCGTGGTAGCGTTTAAATTCGGCTTTTGTCTTAAACATGTAACACTTTATTTTACTGCGTAAAAGTCATTTTCGGAGTATTTTTGCTAGTACTTCCTGTTTTGTTTTTTTTGGCAGACGTTGTACGGTGTGGTTCAGGCGAAAAAATCTGGATATGTCCTGAAATTAGATTTATTCTTTTTCTTTTGTTTGTTGTGGTTGTTTAAAATTCACATTTATGTGGTGTAATGGAGTAATTCAAGGGGTTGGCCAGGCGGGGGAGCTAGAGGAGAGGGGAGGACAACCAGGGGTTAGCATGTTGGAAGCTAAATAAAGGAGTTGAACTCGGCAACAAGGTGTTTTCATTCTGCACCCTACAACAACATACACGACAATGTAGATGGAAGCTTCTGGACTGGGAATAATTATTACAGTAGAATACACGTAATAATACAAGAATAACGTGATTGATACATTTATGGGATTTTAAGAACTGTAAAGTTTGTGCCAAAAAGCTAAGCTAGCTTCTGTTTGAAAGCACTAGCAACCGATAGATGTACTATTTCATATGATTTACATGTTTAGACTTCATTACTGTTGTTGATGTTTTTCGTGACAGTAGTATGACATCTCTGGCTTAAGTTTTATACAAATATTCAAGTTTCACTTTCTGTATTAAACATTGTGCTCAAAACAAATCCTCACGCTAATTTAGTTTGTTGTATTAAATCAGTATTAAAGTGGCGTTATGTGATTTATCTTGTGGTCACACTTACTTCTGAATGTTTTCTGTATTACAAATGTATAAAATGCTAAAATTAGATTTTATTTTTATTTTCTCATAGCTGTCAGATATTCTACAGACATTACCATAATGACGCCTTACCGCCTGTTTATCACGTATGCTAATTTCATACACCAGATATCTAAGCCTTTGAAGAACAGATGTGTTTAGCTGATATACATCCTTTGTGTCTCGTCCTGCTTTTATTGCACAAAAGTTAAAGTTTTCCTGATTTTAATGGGTTTTTATTTTGGTCATTTTTCCTGTTTGTCTCCACTGTTGTGTGTATAAAAGAGATGAGTACTCTGCGACAGACAGCCAGAGAGCTTGTGAGAGTGTACGATCACATTCTGGAGCAGCAGATTGTGGGTCGAGGCTGCAGCCTAGCCTGCAGAGATGAGAAACTGTGGAAGGAGGTGGAGGGGATGTTGAAGGAGGCGGATGCAGTAGAGACCCACTGCCTTGGTCTGGATCCACTCAGGGTGATGGAGGAGTCGTTGAAGGCAGCTGCGACATCTGCTCGAGCACTAGCCTACGGCGGGAGAGTCAAAAGCAGAGGAGGGCTTTGGGGCCTGGCTAAAGCTTTTGAGGTATTGGAGCAGGCATCCCTGAACCTGTACCTGGGTCCCTGGAGGGAGGAATACAGACACATCAAGGTTGGTCATAAAACCACTGAAAGGACTTTTTCTGTTGATCAGTTTCTGTGCAGAGTTTAACATTTTCTTTTTTTCTGTTCAAGATGTACTCCGGTACATTCACCCACTACATCACACCGGTGCTGTCAATGCCTCAAATTGAGTACCTGTTTGGGCTGTTGGGATACCAGCCCAGCACGACTTGGCCCGAGCAGCTCTGCCTCTCGTCGCCCAAAGTCAGCCCTGCTTTTATGGACGACCTCCTGCGTTTGTCTTGTGCCTTCTTTTTAGCCCGCTGTGAGTGTCACCTTCTCCTGTCAGCCCTGGGGAGGCACGTCGGTGATGCCCAGTGGGAGCTGAGCATGGTGAGGGAACGGCAGAGAGGAAACAGCCTGCAGGTATATCTGCTTGTTCTTAAATTACTCAGCCAGCCGGTGATGGTGTAACATTTGGTTCCTGTTTTGTGGAGAATGCTTTGTGCTTCTGTAGCCAGAGTGTGAAATTTAACACGTTGCTGTGCGACACTTTGAAACTAAGAATTTTGCCAAGTTTTAAAGAAAATATGTTAATAAATGTAATGATATTAATGAGAAAAACAATTGAATCTACTATAATGGTTCTGTAGAAAAACATTTATCCTAAACAGTACGTTCAGTTAATGTTTTATTTACCAAAACTCTAGAAAGAGGTCAGATTATTTTGCTGTATTTGGAATTCCAATTTCCCCTGAAAGATTTTTTGCTGTTTTACACACGCTTCTGTTTATACTAGAGAAGGCTTCTCATGTTTGTTTACAGGTTGCTCTTGACAACACCAGGAAGAATCTTGAAGTCAGCCAGCCGCCGTTGGAGCCGGTTGTTGAAGAAATTGATATTTACGGAGAGGAGTGGGTCAAAGGGGAGCAGAATAAGGCGGCTGTTGTTGATGAGGAGAGTCCCTCCCCTTTAACCAACGGTGCGAGTTGCATGTCCCAACCAGTGGATGCAGGCATTAGTAGAAGTCCCTCGTCCAGGAAGGGTAAAAGCAAGCATTCGTGTGAGGAATCGGAGTCTGCTAAAACAGACTCAAAGCAGATTGATGCTTCTGGGCGGAACGAGGCTCAGCCTGATGCCAACCACTCCTGCAGCTGCCTCCAATCTCTTGTTTTACTTAAATACTGCCTTGAATGCAATGCCTTTCACGATCTCACCTGTACCTTTATTAGTGTTTGCAAGAAGAGAGGCCATAGAGTAGAGTTTGCTGACAGCCTGCCGGGGAGAATGGATGACGGACGTGAGAGCGGGCCGCCTAGTGAAATCTTCAAAGAAGATGCAGCAAACAGTCCAACTAGCAGCAGTGTAGCCGTACCCTCCTCTGCTGTGTGTGATGATGCTAAATCACCGAGCCTCTCTGTTGAGCCAATCAGATACCACAGCTGCTGTGACCTTGCCAAGCCAGATCCTCGGGTCCTGTGTCGCAGCTGTAACGTCTTCCATTCCCGTGCTTGTGCGGAGGGGAAGTCGTGCCAGAAAAACCACACAGTCAGTGAGTTGGGAATGTGCACTTGTGGGCTGTTTTGTGCCAGAAATCCTTTGGTTCTGTGTCGATATTGTGGGAAAGAGTATTGTACCCAATGCTGGTTCAGAAATCCCGTTAGTTGTCACTGCGGCCAAACGTTTGACCAGTCATCTTCTGTGTGATTGTGTGTCGGAAAGGTTTCGCACTGCCGCGGCACGTTCAGCAGATTTAGTGTGCCTTAAATCTGCGATGAGGTCAACAGGTTTGCCTTTAATGCAGAGCTACGTGTTCTTCTGTAAACGCTCACCCTTTGTGCGTCTGTTGTTTTAGTCAGCTGCCAAATCCCACCACAATAAGCCTTTTGTAAAGGATGCCCTGTTGGGGTGCTTCGAAGCCACTTTGATGCGAAGCACATTGGAGTTTGTTTTTTATGTGTGCCGTTTGGAATAAAAAAGTTATTTCACACTTTGTGTATTTTATAATGTTTGAGTTAGTTTAGCATGAGTGAATTATTGACTGCTTGTATTGTTTTTGTCATAGAAATGCAAAAGTTTATGCCACAATTTTTATAATTGTTTTTCTATTTTAAAACACCAAAGAGCCGTAATGAATGACTATTGAGAACTTTGATATTTATTTACGAAGTGTTGGATGATTTTGCTCATTAATCAACCGTATTGTGGATAATTCTTGCAGAGAAATCAACTAAACCTACGACTAACAAGCTGCAAATAAACTTCTCAGTCTCATGCACACATTTGTGTTTGCATGCAAATAAATGAGTGCTGTTTTCCCAAAGGCCAAAAGGTCAGCTAATGGGATTTTATTTAGCCGTTCTGAGAATCCTGATAAGAAATGAACCTTGATAAACAAAAATATTAAACATTATTTGCGCTGGTGTGGAAACATTTAACACCTCGGTGGCATTAACCAAACTTCATAAAATCAGGTTATTTTTAATCATGAAAAGATTCGTTTACAAGCCAATTTACCGGGCTAGCTCCACTCTGGCAGATGTTGTTAAATATCTCAGGGTTTGACTTGTAATCGATGTAGTGAGCGTGACAGTGCCAATTACCAGCAAACACTCTTACTCTGCAGAGAGTTGATCTGCAAATCACCACAAACCCAGAGCTTCTAGTTCTGACCAAAATTAGTTCAAGCAGACAAAGAGGAAGACTTCTGGTTTACTCCAACCCCCCCTGTTTCCATCAGTTACACACCATAATAAACTGTTACATTTATGCTGAAAGAACAGCTAATTTAACCCTATCAAAGGATGGTATTTAGTTTCTGATATTATTTCTAACATGAGGATGGGATGAGTGTGGCAGGGTGCAGAGGCGGGGGCCCGGGTGAGAGTCATACGCTCTAACCAGTCAGCCAAATGGACATCCCGATTGGCCAAGCAGCCAGGGCGCATGACCAATCGGGACACTGTGACAGGACGCTCACACTGCCACATAAGATTAACCAGCACCTCACCTGTTGGGTGAACCGCCAGTCAAAAGAGGAGACCCCGAGAGACTTTTGCGTTCCTCGCAGGCGAGAAACATTTTATTCCAAATACAGGTGAAACAACTACAGATCCCGACACAAGCGGGGCACACAAGAACAAAAACCCAACAAGTTTCCAGTCCCCCCTCAACCTTCTACCAGCCTTTTTAAACCCCTTCCTCCTCTTCTGGTTTGTATCCATGGCAACACCTCCCACCCCCCCCACCCACCCCGACTCCATGCCTGGCCAGGGGTGGGCAATCCCAGTCCTCGAGGGCCGCTGTCCAGCAGGTTTTACTTGTTTCTCTGCTTAAACACCTGGTTTGAATCTACTAGTGATTAACAGGCTGCTGCAGAGCCTGATGGGCTGCTGAACAGGTGATTCATCCAGGAATCAGGTGTGTTGGGGCAGGTAAACAACTAAAACCTGCTGGATAGCGGCCCTCGAGGACCAGGATTGCCCACCCCTGTGACAGACGATCACCTCATCTTTCGGCAGGCTCTGCTGATTGGTTCCTTTCCGGATCCACCCCTCTTCTTCTGGCTTCTCCGCTGGTGGCCTCCTCTCTCCTTTCGTCCCATCCTGGCCTCGGGGAGGAATCAATACATCTACTTCTACTGCTTATTCTAGCAATCCTTATCGGTTTACAAATACATGGTCTGTTTATTATCTCACTGCACCTGGACTAACAAACCACAATCCTTGCCTCCCTCCTATCTCAAGAGGTCAGAAAGGTTACATAAAAAAACAAGAACGTACCAGCTCATAAAATTTACTTCAGGGTGAAACAGCAAAAGACACACACACACACGCACACACACTTTTAATCACAGGAGAATAGCCAGCAACGATTTGGTTTCACAGAACTGAGGACTAATCCAGACCTATTTTTATAATTAAGGCCTGAGATTATTTCAGTTCAACACCCCCCTTGAAACCAGGAGGCCGCTGGCATGGGCGCTGTCCGTGCCTCCTGTAAAGGAGGATGCCAAGCGACGTCGCCCTGGCTCACACACACCCGAACAGGTCCCCTCCGCAGCCCACTCGTCATCCACCGGTGGTCGTCAGCACCAGGAACAGGAACACCAGACCGTCTCTGGATCTTGCGTCGCAGATCAAAAACCGAGGTCAGCCCTGACCCATGCTGCTGTGCCTGAACCACCTCATACACCGGGATTGATGCAAGTTCTTGAGTTGTACCCTGAGGATGTGCAGCATCATACACTGCAGGTTCTGACGGCATGGTACGGTTCTGAACCGTCCCCTTGGGTCGTTGAGATCCAACACCATTCCAGTCCAGTATGACGTTCTCTGAAATGAGACAACAGACCGGGAACTCTGCTCTCCCCAGGTAACCTTTGATACGCCACTGGATCAAAATGTTGAAACAGATCCGATCCTGTAACTCTCCTGAGAACATCAACTCTCTCCACCACCTTCGTCTCTTTGTGAGAGATGCCATCAACCACCAGAACTATACGCTGCCAGACGGAAGGTTCCCATGGCCCGTGTGGATCCATTTTTACAGGTCTATCGTTTACCAAACCATAAAGATATACCTTTTTGGTTTTGGTGCGGTCATCGCTCAAATGATCACGTATTCTCACACGTGGCACCCGGTCCCTTAATGGGAGGACTTCTTTCTCCCTCTCAGGACTCGTGTCCCTCATCCATTCATCAGGGTCCTCTACCTATATTAATGCCAGACACAGTAAACATGAAAAACTACAACTCCACACCAGCAACCATGCAGAATAGCAGTATGGTTCAGGGATTTTATATAACTCCCCCTCCTTGCTACTCATTCGTAATAAAAACGAGCAAAACATCCTTAACACACTTATATCATGCCACACGAGCATTTCAGCATGTGAAAAGAAAAAAAATGTCCACGATTCCCAAATCTCCTAAATCAGACCCAGGTAACACACAACGATCATTAATCCCACACAGCTAATAACAGCAACGCACCATAGCGGTGGGGTCTATCCATCTCTCAGGAACAGAACTTTATAACACATTCTAGCCAAACTATGACTTTAAAAATCCCATTTCCAGGGTTTCTGATTCCCAGAATGACCCAGCACACCAAGCTGGTTAAGATTAGCATAAAGTAACACCTTACACCTGTGGTCAAACTATCAGCCTCCCCAGTGACTTGCCGCTGAGAGGGAGCAACAGAATCACCCACGTTCTTCCAGCAGGTCGTCTAACCTACTCTGGCCCTGGACCGGTTCTGCAGTTCTTCTGCTCCTCAGATGTGGTCTGGGCTCCATCACTTCTGGGGCTGCATCCCGGAGATCGGGGCGGGGCTAAATGTGGGCGGGGTCAAACGTTTCGGGGTGGGCGGAGACAACTATTTGACTCCTGCACCTCTTCAATGGAGCTGGGAAACCTCGAGCAGCCCCTGAGTTAAGGATTAAAAAGCCCTAAAAACCCACAAAACCCATGTAAAGCATAACATTGGTAATCAAATTACTTGTTTGCTGGATGTCATAATTTTAAAGAGCAGATAATTACAGACGCCATTTTTGATTCAATCTGTTCTGATATTTTTATTCTTTTTCCTACCTTTGTATGGTATGTGTATTTATAGCACATAGGTATTTGTGTCTTTTAGCTATACTTTTGGTACCTACGGTATATAAAAGGTTCAAGCATTTATAAGACTATTCTTTGAACCTGTCAAAACCATTTTAATAGTTTATTTTATCAATGCCGCCTTTATTTTGATAGTCATTTCCCAAGTGAGTGTAGGACAGTACAGACAGACACGGGTACACTTGTTGTACACTCCGTTATATCAGCTACATTAAGAGGACCAGAGACTTAAATTGTGTTGATACTTCTTAAAACACGCCAGGGTTTGAGGCGGGGTGGTGAGACATTGTGAGACACAAGAATGCAGACTAAATTCTTCAAAAAGGTAAATTTAATGGAGCAAACAGCCAACACAGGAATTAAAAAAAAGTACAAACAAATGAACCAAAAAGCACACAAAAAACAAGAGAACCTCCAAAAAAACAATGTGAGGAGGAAACAGAATGCAAAAACTGTGACACCGCTGTACTATGGCATTTCAAAGCCAGAAAACACCTTCATCTTCCTTTTTTCCTCAATTTCTTTGCAGAACTCCTCATAGTCGGACTGAAAACTAAACATGAACAGGAACGGTTCCCTTCAATCGTTCATCTCCTCTTCATCCAGGCCATCACAGAAGCATAACCTCTCCACTGCCCTCCGGCAAGCTTCCCTGTCCATGGTGATGACCTGGGGAAGGGAAAGGCTTCCTTAGAAGGACCTTGTGGTACACCACCTTGCTGCCTCAAAGGTGTCCTCAAGCAGAGAATTCTCCTAATCAAAAATAAAGACAATATTAAAATTACTGCTGTCATGAGATTAAAAACATATTTTACATTAATTATGTATGATCTGTAAGTAATCTAATCTTTTAATTTCATCTAATAACTGTACATAATATAAGCCTTATTTTCAATGCTAACAGCTAGCCAAACAGCTGATGCTGTGGTCTTTCCAAACTGCAGCACGGATGTGCGTCTGATACAGGAGAGAAGCTGTCAGCAGCCTTGATGCTCAGTGACACACCCATTACATCCAAATGGTAACAATAACTTTGGAAAAAGTTGCAAGAAGGGTGAAAAAACACGGAGTAAAGATAACAAGGTCGCTGAAATAAACACTGCTGCAGCTAATCTCTCACCGGTCTTGTCGCTGTAACGTCAACCCTTCAACTTATGAGTTTACATCAACCCTTCAAGAACACAGCAAGAAGCGTAAAAGAAATTGGTTTATTTAAAAGTCCCATAAAGAAGCAGTAGATTAAAAATGATAACATAATTAAAAAATATAACACGTTAATCATGGCTGTAAAAAAAATTAATTGCAAGTAATGGAATTATTTGACACCTCTAATTAAAATAGAGGTTGGAGAAGAAACAATGACACAAGAAAAGCCGACAATATATAACGTACTCTGTTCCCCGTGTCCAGCTCCAGCAAGTTCTCAGCCTCTGCTAGAAAGGAAACAGATTGTGGTTCATATAAAGCATATTAATGATGCAAGTTGTAAAAAAGATCAGTTGCTTAGTATTCTGGTTTAATGAAAATAGAGAAATGACTGAAAAACTTGCTTTGGAAAAAAAAGTGCTCGTCTGGAACGGTCTTAATTTTCTAATCTTGGCAAAGTAACAATTTCATTGTGCAGAAAGCGTGTTTTTCTAGCTGTGCAAATGAC